GGGCAATCACATGCTGTGAAAGACATAAACATGCAGTACTCAATGCAATGGAAATCTTAGGGTATGTGTGTGAATGTGCGTGTGTTATAAATTTGTTCTGCCAAATAAAAAGTTGGTATTTGTTGAGTTTGCTCCTGTTTTTCTTTGCTCATGCCAAACTACATTATTGCATGTCTTAAAAACTTCTTTTGTCAATTCCAGTACAGCAGTATATACTGCTATTAAGCTGCTTACTATGATTTATGATTGTTTCTTAGGGTAATGATGTCATTTTCAATGATCAAGGTACCAGAATTATCAACCGATTGAAAGTTTCTCAGTACCAGAAAAATGCTAATGGTAACCAAACACCATTATTGATCATTATTATCAATTATTTTTGCTGCAAAGGCACGCTACACCGTGTACATGTTGGAGAGGTGACCGTTACAAAATTGAATGTGACCTTCCACCCACTTCTGACATCATTTCATTTTCCTGGTAAAAATCAAATTTGTGTTTTAGTTCATTTTTAGCATGTGTTGTTTTTCCTACAGAGGGTATACCTAATGATGGGATACCAATTGAGGATGTGGTGACAGTCTCAGTGGCTCTGACAGTGGTCTATGTCATTCTGGCCACTGCTGGACTAGTGTTTACTGTGACTTGCATTTTGTTCAACATTATATTCAGAGAGAAAAGGTATTAATTGTAGCAAGGCGCAGAAATCATCACACTGTTATTGGTATATTGCAGGTTAATTCGACTCTCCAGTCCTAACCTCAACTACCTGATTGGACTGGGAGCTATAGTTCTCTACCTCAATGTCATCACTCTCGTCATTCCAACCACAAACACACACTTTGCTGCTGTACTCTGCAATGTAAGGACAACGTATATGTTGATGTCTTGTGTTTATTATGTCACAATCAGATCAATCCCTGGCTTATATCTCTCGGTTACTCTTTCTGCTATGGAACTATCATTATCAAAATGATCAGAGTCTGGATCATTTTCAACAATCCCCTGCAACTGAAAACAGTAAGTATTGATCTGGATGAGAGGAAATAGTCAGAATCTACAGTGTTTAAATTGTGTGTGTGGTGAAGGCTGTATGTGAGCACCCTTTGCTACTGACAGCATATTATCACTAAGTATGGTAGTAAATTAAATTCTACAGTCATTCTTCAGGGACTATCTGATGGCACTGTTTGTCCTGTCTCTGGCTGTCATTGATGTAGTCATTCTCCTAACATACACTGCGACTGAGGCTGTGAGAGACAACCTTGGAGTGAAACTCACAGCAAACCGAGAACTTCCCAATGAGACCTTTGGTGTAATTTTACTGAATTCACAAACGTTTAGCTTTAATTATTGTTCATTAGGCAACAGCTGAGCAACACAAGTATTTTTTCTACATCTGTAAATCTGGAGGGCAAGTCGTCCTCTATACGATTCTGTTTGGATACAAGGGCATTCTGCAAGTCCTGGCTCTGCTCCTGGCTTTCCGTACTCGCAACGTGAAGGTGAAGGGTCTGGATGACTCTGTGTACATTGCTGCCTCTGTGTACGTCACAAGTATTGTGTTGACTGTCATCATTATCTCCACCTACACTCTGAGGGACTATGTGAATGCCTACCCAGCTGTGGTGGGAATGGGGTTGCTGCTGGGAACCACCATGATCCTCGGACTTGTCTTCATACCCAGAGTGAGAAATTTTTTTTATCGTGCTTTGGGCTTTTGGTTTATTTTCTATTCTCAAATGTATAGAGTATGTTGTATTACTCACTGTAATAGATGGTGGGGCTGTACAAAGACCCCAAAGGAGAAACAATCACTACCTTTGGAACATCTGGTCCAAGAGAAGAGGCGGTTGAGAGCTCAGGCGACAAAAAGGACAAGGAGCTTCAGATTCTTCGTCGCAGGGTTTCTGAACTTGAAACTAGTCTCAAACAGCAGGTAGGCACATGCACGAGATACATCTGTATTAAAAACGTGCATTTAATTGAGTTAACTTGATCATTAGTAGGTTTTGTAACTGTCACGAAAGATGCATAAATTGTGTTGGTGCTTGAAGTGTCTATTGTATCTGTCGTGTCTTTCTTCCGGGCGTCTCTAGTGTCTGCGGTGTCAATGGTGTCTTTTGTGTCTGTGGTATCTTGTGGTGTCACTAGTGTCACTGGTGTCCTAGGGGTTAAGGTGTCTCGTAGTGGTTCTGGTGTCTCTGGTGTCTTGTGGCGTCACTGGTGTCCTAAGTGTCACTGGTGTTTCTGGTGTCTCTGTGTGACTGGTGCCTCTGGTGCCCCAGGGTGTCATAAGACTAAGTGTCCACGAGGGCTTTAACTAACTGCTGGTTGGAGTGGCGTCTTTCACACACCAAAAATTGAATTCACACTGAGGACTTTCACATACCATGGACACCAAAAACACCCCATACACCTGGGACGCCATAGATACCACAGACACTACAGACACCAAAGCAGACACCAGAGACCCGTCAGACATCATAGACACCTAAGACAACACAGTACCACTAACAGCCCTATTATAAGCATCTTTCGTGACAGTGGGGAAACAACCAGCCTTCTCTAATGGGTCTGACAATCAGATATATCTGTACTTGTCTTTCAGCATGCCTCTGCTCCAGTTGGAAAAGAGTCTTCAATATTTGAAGAAATCAAAACTAATGGAAATAATACTACCACCTGACAATAACAATGTTTTGTTTAAAACCCCAATGATAGTTTAGTTTCCATGAATAGAATTCCACAGTTTTTATAGTTTTACAATGGTGTGAATGTATAAATATGTCACAAAAAGAATGATGATGAATTAATGTCTCTCTAGCTCTTTAGCTGCTATCTGACACAGTAACAGTTCATCTGAACTGGCACTGAACTGCACACTTCCCCAGAATTACCGTATAAGTCTCTCTGAGTGCTGCCACACTTGGAATTTGTCACTTAATGAAGAAAAATGCTCCTTTTCCGGGTGGAAATAAGCAGAGTCCTTTATATTTAAAACAGGACAGCTAAGCAGTTACAATACACATAGTATACGGAAGTTATAGTGACTCACACTATATTGATGTTACTGATACGCTCCTCAAACCTGAAGTACCTTTCAGTGTAGCTATATACTCAGTATCTCCATTTTCAATTAGGAGCCTTTTCAAAATGTCTGACGTCTGAACAAAGCAATGATGTGAGTGAAGCATACTTTTCCTCCCAAACAAACAGGAAACAGACCACACAAACAGTGATACTGAGGGAACAAACGAACGGCTGAGAACCAGAATGGTGTAGCTAACCCACAAAGGGCCATTCAAACCCCCTTGACATGAAATTAAAATGGGTTATGGAAGGAGACAATCTTTTGCACAATCTATATCTCACTTTTGTAAGTATAGCTACCCTACCAATATTTTCCCTGTTTTGCACTCCTTAGGCACTTTTCCATAATCAATTTTGAGATATACCACTCTGGTTCTCAGCCCATCAAACAGCAGTGGGTGATTATTCAAAAAGGGTCTGTTGGGGTGGGAAAAAATGAAGAGTGGAAGTGAAAAAATGTATGTAACCGTCACGTTATACTGTAAATTGCTTGTACTTCCTTCCAAATGTGTGTATATAAACTGTCCACACTCAATGGGTGTTCTGAATTCGAAGCATTAAATGGTACTGCTATACATATCCTACCTGTATAGTAGCCTGTATACTGTCGACACGAGTAGTATTGCCTGTTCTTCAGCCCATGTAGGACAAAAATTGCATTTTGAATGTGAATTTACCAGTGTGGCTGCAAAAGACTTCCACTTGTGAAGTTTTTTCCGTTACTTAAGTAGGTGATAGAAGGCTTAGGGGTTATAGTTAATGAGCACCCTCTTTTTATCTGCCAGTGTGTAAGAGCGAACCTGCAGCTAAACCATAATTAACTCTCGGCGCGCATGCGCCAGGGGGTTACGCTAGTTGGTTTGTAAGTCTGCCTGTCTGTCCGTCTCTATCTGTCTGTCTGTCTGTCTGTCTGTCTCTCTGTCTGTCTCTCTCTCTCTCTCTCTCTGTCTCTCTGTCTGTCTGTCTGTCCACTCTGCGTAATCTCACATCTCGCGCTATGACACACGCAACAAAGGACACTATCTTATTGAGGAAAACAAAATGTTTTCTGTTTATCGCGGCCAGGTCCACCATTTTGTTGCTTTTTCACGACTGACACGCGCATGCCTTGGCCTAGCAGTACAATAACACCCTTCGACAAGCGCACACCATCGGATACTGCTAGTTCAATGTTTGCCACCATACTCCTTTTTTTAAATTCCCAAGTGTGGGTGAAGTAACTATTATCAGTTACTTCTTGAGACACTGCAGGAACATGGTTCTGTGCCGAGGGTTTGCACTTTAGTGCTTTTCATTGTATCGTAATTATTTGCTTGATGTGGGGTAATTTGGCTTTAAATATAGCCCCTTTGTATAGACCAGATAGTCTTTTTGGTAATTAGCTATTTGGTGTATTATTGCTTGAATTGATGCAAGTGTGTAGGCATGTAAAGCAGCAGCTCATAGTTATCCTCAAGAGACGGAGAGGAGTAGACTGATGTTCCTCTGAGTAGTCCAGTAACGTGCTGAAGTTGCAGCACAAATATTTTTTCATTTGCATACACAGTCACAGTGTTGCCACACCCTCATAAAATTCCTGGTTTGTCTAATAGCTACAACTATGCAAACTATTTCACTCATTAATTTTACTATGCCCTGCATTTGTTGTGTTTCCTCAGTATTAGCTACCACTAATATATCGCTTCACCTTCCTGCACATTCTGAGGCTCCCAGAAACATGTTTTCTGCTCATTATATACAGTGCTTTACAGAAAGTGTGTTACAATATGCAATAAAACCAATATGTAGGAGTTTGGTATCAATGACATTTTGGGAAACAACAGCTTAGGAAACCACTTTTCCCCTTTTGAGAGCAACTCTCTTCGTCCAGCACATCAGACGACGTGGTTAATCATAACAAAAACATCGGATAAAGCTAAAGGATAAAAGGACGGTGTCGTGTAGTTTTGTGTGTCTTTCCTGTGTAATGACCCCTTGTTTCTGTCTTTTTTTGGTGTTTCAAGCCATCCTTATGTCCCCTTCATTTTTTTACTTATTGAGAGCTACTGAACCCCTTGTTTATTTCATGTGTGTACATGAGTAGTTTTCTCAGAGACTATCACAATGCTTGCTGTGGAAGGACGCATCAATAAACTTACGGGCCAAATTTCAGCGATGCATGCCACACGCATTGTTGCTAAGGTGTTGCTAAGTTTATTCCGCAAAATAAACTGGCAACAGGGCTGTGGTTTGGGAGCAGGGAGATGTTGCAGGTGTCAATAACTGGTGTGGAATTTTTGTCAGTACTGTATACAAATAGCACGACCTTTTTTCGTTGGGAATGGAAGAGTGGACTGATTTACCGCCATGTTCACCCGAGGCAACGCCACTAGAATCCGTGTTTTTGGGAACTTACTTCTTCCCGAGCGCTCCTTCGGCGCATTCGTCTAAGAACTCCCACCGGTGGGAGCATTTCTTGGAAAGACTTAGGCGCTTACTCTTGGATGGAGGCGAAGACGACGGACCGGAGCCTCCCTTTCCCGGATTTGCCCGCTGCTCAACGCGGCGCTTTCTCGTAAGTGGCGTTGCCTCGGGTGAACATGGCGGTAAATCAGTCCAATCTTCCATTCCCAACGAAAAAAGGTCGCTAGAACGAGCCACCGCTGAGGCCGTCAGAAGCGAAGGAGACACAACCGGAACAGCGCTCGCGTCCGCCATTCTTCCCGCCAGTGCAAAATTGGCTGTTACGTCACGTTACCATAGTCAATACTGCTTCCGGTGTCTTAATTGGCAATAAATCAATTATAGCATGCCTAGTCGGTATGTTGCGGTTTATTCCGCCCTCCCTCTCGGGCGCTACCTTACTACCATGTGTTTGTCTGTGTGTGTGTGTGCGAGACTTTTTCATTTTTTTAAATTTTTTATGCGGAGAAATACTACAAAAAAAAAAAAAATAAAAACAAAACAAAACAAAACAAACGAAACAACAAACAGATTAAATGATGCTGTCAATAGAAGGGGGGCCAATGGGGAGTCGATGGAGCCAAAGAGCGGCATTCCCACGCCAGAGAGAAACAGAGCAGCGCTGGAAGAGGTGACGAATTGAGTCCGCGGGAGAGACCCCTAAACGCTGGCCTAGGAGGCGACCAATTCTGGACAACGAGGTGGTTGTGGCCTCACTCATGCCGCCCAGGGCCTCAAAAGCAAGGGGGATGAAAGAGACTCCAACAGCGCGGCAAGCGGGGGCATGAGCTGACATCTTTCGATGCTCCGCAACAGCGAGGGCATGGCCAGCAGAAGAAGCAGCCCCTTGAAGGGTGAGGGGTTGAAGGGGGGAAATGACGGTCACATCCATAGCAGCTGGTTGACCCCGTTCCCAATTAGGAAGAAGGATGTCAGCAGGGCGGCTCTGTGATCCGGGGATGAGAGAAGGGACCTCCTTTCGCGGAGCCAAAGCAGCGGAGCGGGTGGCATGAAAAATGGAATCACATACAGAGTTGTGCCTAAGGATTCTAACACCGTTCCCCCCGCAACCGACCTGGTGGTCACCAAAGGGGTCAGCAGCTGAGTGGCAAACGCCGCATTTCACCCCCTCCTAAAAAATCAGGACCTCCAACCAATATTGTAGGCAAACCCGGAACTCACGATCCATGAAGTGAAGGCCGAGGGAAGGCGAAGGAACAGCGTTCAGCCAATCACCAGCATGGGGGAGAGAACACGATTGGGCAAGGGCCAGAGAACGGGTGTCAGGAGAGAAGAAGGTCGAAAGATTCCTGGTCAATTTCGTATGAGAGGGAGCGCTGCCGGAGGGGGACATCGATGTCCTGTAGAGAGACCAACTCAGATGCCCAGCTGCCCCAGCAAGAGTGGCCAGGCAGGAAGGGAGACTAGCAGGGACAGGAGGAGGGTGGCGGAGAATTTGGGCAACGAGGGGGGTGGAGAGAGCGAGGGATCCAATGAAAGCTGCAGGAGCGTGGAGGGGGGCCTGACGGAGATTAAGGCTACCCAGAGAGACAGGCAGCGACGCTTTCAACCAGCTCCAGTCAGAGATGGGGCCCCCACAGAGGTCTTCCAAGGAGTCCCGCATGATGTTGTCAAAGGCTGCAAGTGCAGGATGAATCAGGTTAGGGGCACAGGTGCGGAGAGTGAAGGAAATTTTGGGGAGGGAGAGGCAGGACCGCAAGAGAGCGGTTTCCATTTGGGCATCTTGGAGGTCCCTCAAATTCACGAGGGTGTCCTGAATTTTGGCAATCCTCTTCATGACTATGGAGGTGCAGAAGGAGGCAGAGCCTATAGGGCAACCCAGAAGCACAAAACCGCCATCGGAGACAGGAACACCCTGGGGAAGAGACGAAGGGGGAGGTGAAGCATCAGGGGGGATGATGAGAAGGGATTTGCTCCGGTTAAGCAGCAGACCACGGGAAGGCCCCTCAGCCTCAAGGATGTCAAGCGCCGCACGGAGATCACTCAGAGGGCCACAGAGAGTCCCGTCATCTAGATACCAGACGTTCATGAGGAGACCTGGAACATCTCGATTGATCTGCTCAAGAATGGGCTGTAGGGCGAGGGAAAAACCCAGCGGGCCCAGTGGGTCACCTTGCTGGACCCCACAGCAGCTGCGAATAATGTCGTCGCCGAAATGTAGAAGCGGCTGGATGCCATAGCAACATTCAAGCCAGGCTGACATGGAGGGGATACGAGACCGAGCCTCAGCAAACATACACTTCCGATCAACAGAGTTAAAAGCATTGGAGAAGTCAACTAGGAGGAAACAGCGAGAGTCAGGAGGAATGGTACTGTCATTGATGAGACTAACCACCGAATGGACGACTGCCTCACAGCCTCCAGGGACCGCCACTCCAACTTGGAGGGGGGAAAGAGTAGTGATGGTATCGGCTCGGACTGCCCGGGAAACACACTTGGATGTCAAACGACGAAGAACCTCCCCAACAGCGATGGGACGAAGACCGCCCCCCTTCTTTTGGCAGGCCAGGAGTGTTGCCCCGCAGAGATGAGGGAGGATGGACGGGGCAACGCGACCTCTACAGAGAAGGTTAACAACTCCAACCAAGCCCTGTAGAACAAAAGAGGAGCGGTCAGGAGAAGGACAGAACACAGCCTCCTTTAAGTGAGAAGCCCTGAGACAGGAGGGACCAGGGGCTGAACCACTTGGGAAAGATCGAAGGGCCTTAGTGACATCCAGACTGGAGATCTGGACTGGGGGTGGAGCCGGGGATGGAAAATGGGGAGGGAGGAAGGGTGGGAGGGTGCTTGGAACGCATCACATTCAGAGCATCGACGGAGGAGGGGGCAAAACCCGCAGAAGAGAGAGATTGAATGGCTTTCCTGAATTGCCCGTCTTCGACAGCCCTACGAGCACGACGAACGTTAGCTGACCGGATTGATTCCTGAGAGGCGGGGTCAGACTGGAACTTCTTTAGATGCCGGAGAAGCCGCTCATTCTCCTCCCTGACCTCACACCAGAGGGACAACCACCCCCCAGACTTCCACTTGGCGATACGTGCTTGGACCAGTTTTAATGTAACACGCCAATGCGAACGACCCCCCCCTAGGGGGACTGGCGAGGATACATCTAGCCAATAGGAAGAATTTCATCCAAGACCCTTCATCAAGGGGGTCCGAACAGATTGTATGGCACACATCACCAACAAGACCAGCCCAAGCGTCCCTGGCTCCCTTCGGAACATGGCGGAGGGTAGAGACACTCAGGCTAAAGATGGCGTCCAGAGAGGGGGGAGATAGAGAGGGGAGGTCCCCGTGCGAACGGGGGGGAGAAGGAGCCGGGCGGGAGGGGACCGACGGAGGAGAGGGAGAGGTCAGAGCAGGGGCAGGGCACGAAGGAGGCGCGGCGTCAAAGGCTGGAATTGACGCTGGAGCAGACGCAGGAACAGAAGTGGACACGGGGACAGAAGCGGGGACTGAGGCAGGGACAGGATTTACGCACCGACCAAGCTGGCCGGGGAGACAGCCGGAACAGGACCGGTCTTGTTTCACGCAAGAGCAGTTCTTACATCTCCCTGAGCGGTTGCAGCGACAGCACCCCACCGATACGTACGTACGGACGTACGTACGCATATCGCGAGAATACAACCCGGATTAGTTGCCTTACGCTAATGCGCTCGGCAATAAAACTGTTCCAGAGTTTAAGACAAGTGAAATTTGATTTGTTAGAACTTTATTGATAGAACTAGACCGAGATATTTGAGGCATGTATTTCTTTCGTTATAACAGAAGTTTCCATCCATTGTCAGCTCCAAATTCGCATTGCTAACTCCTTTTAAATAAAATATTCTTCGAATGACTGCGGAATATTCTATAATTATAGGGATGGCACGAGTGAAATCTCACGTGATCCGCGTACAAAACGACTAAAAACTCGGTGAGAATGACTCCCTAGGCCTTCAAAACACACTATAAATAATCTACGGGCCCATATCTGCCTATACATGTTCCAAACGACCTTATGCGCACCTTCAGTCGTCCACGCAAGAATTCGCTCATACGGGATTTCACGATTATCGTGTCATCATCATATTCTTCAAACCTATCTCCTTACCAGTACCAGTTCAAGCACTGAATTATTCGCTGAAGGTCTTCAATTTCGCCAGAGGTATGCACGGACATCAAGCGATTGTTTCTTTCTGCCGCTAGTCACTGCGGTAGACCATGGAGCTCTTCCTTGGTCGACACTGAAAAACGCCAGCATCAGCGAGCCGCGCGCATGCGCCAGGCAAGGGCATTGTCCAATGCGCTCTGCGAGCGTATTACCAGCTCGAGTTGACAGACCTGCAGAGGAACTCTCAGCCTCCTGTTACGGAAGCCCATTGGAGCCGTGTGCACTTCCAAATCGTGCTACTTCTCACTTCCAAATTGTAGCTATATACCACTTCCAAATTGTACTACTTCCAAATTGTATCACTTCCAAATTGTATATAGCTACTACTTCCAAATTGCGCTACACTGCATGCAGGGTTTAGATGGCGGTCCCGCGCGGGATCGTCTGGGCGCGCAGGAGACTAGCGCGCGGAACGAGGGGGCGGGGTCTGGGCACGAGACTAGTCGCGCGTCGGGCTGTATGAACGGAAAATGTTGCAGCCACAAAAGACAGACTTTAGGAGCACATTCGGAAGTATTCCCTCAAGGGATATTCGTATATGACTATTTTGATCTACTTGGGGTATATAGCTAGCTACCGGGCTCTTTGGAGTATCACAGCTATAATAATATTATAGTGAAAAAAACCGTAGAATGCCATCAGACATACACATGAAGCATTAAACCTATATTTTGTTCCAAATACTACTGAACTTGATAACTTTTCTGAGTGCATAGGAAATGAACATAAGAGTGTGCATAAAATGTGAACTATAGCGATGATTGATTCTGGGAGCTTCAGTAGGCTGTTGAGGATGTGAATGGCAGTAGCACGTTGGCCTTTTCGTTGCAGGCATGTAGCAACCAGTTCCTGAATAGCATTTTTCTTACTCCATATCATCATCCTATGAGGAAAAAGGACAATGCATATTGGTATGTTAATGTTTTTAAGAGTTTGGAAGTCTAATAGCTAGAGTAAGCCACCGATAATCGGATGCCATATATTCTCGGACGCATTGTGTGAAGTCTGTGCAAGATTAGATTGGCTACTGTGTTTACCAATATGTAGTTCTTGGTCATAAACTGTTGTATAAAAATATTCGCTCTTATCCGAGCTTTACCGTGGGAATGACGTTGCCGTAAGGTTACGATTCCGGCTCAGCAAAGATCGGACAAGCGCATCAATGGTAGGACAGTGTCCCAAAACGGGAACAGTATGAATGATCCAAGCGAGTGTATGCTCGATTGATAGATGTACCTTTTGGCTATCCAGCGACCAACAAATGGCGCTCTTTTTGCTCACGAAAGCGCAAATAGGCGGGGTCGCGTAAGCCACGTTTTACGCGAAAAGCAGTTCGCGGCTAGGCTTGTTTCTTCTAACGCACGTGCCGTGTGAAGCTCTAAATTTTTATCTTATACTAGATGCTTGCACCACGATTTCCGTTTTTGTGAGATCTAACTTTTTATTGGTAATTACAAAAAATAATTATTGGTATTCCAAAAAAATTTAATCTTACAAAAACGTAAATCGTGGTGCAGGCATCTAGTATAAGGCAAGAAGAACGAGAATATTTTCCTTGGTTCTAGCTAATTCTTTAGGGCTAGGGCTATCTTGCAGGGCTTAGGTTTTGTGTAGTGCTCCCATAGATCCGCACATGTGTTGGACACTCAGCCACACTAAGGGCAACACCTTACCAAGACCACCGTGTGTCGAGGCGTTTCACTGTCCGTGACATGACCATGAACAGTTTTGTGAGTCACTGGCAAATGTTGCTGTTGCTCTTGTCCATGCATTTTTGTTGGAGCTTACCCATAGCTAATTGCCCTTGAGCCAAGTAAGGGAAGCGGAAATACCTCACACAGGGCCTCTTTGCTGCTTCTCCACGAACTGCTTTAGTAGTGCGCTTTCTCAATTGACGTGCAACTTCCACATACATGCCGGACGTAACTGCAAAATGGGGCACACGAACAGACCGCGGTAACATTTATTAGGCCATACCTTGATCTCTACTAAGAGCAGGTTCTTCGCTGTTATCTCAACTGTGAGAGGACAGCAGAGAGGCCATGACCTGTAATCCGCGCCGACTGCTCCCGGTACAGTCTCCACGCGTAGGAGGCCGGCTCGTGCAGTCAACTGGATGTGGAAACTGCGCATGCGCGGCTACTCGCGAGCTGATGAGTCCTATATACCCCCTGGATGAGGAATCACAAAGGCCGTTGAGAAGTGTGAGCAAATTCAGTAGTGGCACAATTTGGAAGTGATACAATTTGGGAGTAGTACAATTTGGAAGTGGTACAATTTGGAAGTGAGAAGTAGCACGATTTGGAAGTGCGCACGGCCCCAATGGACATCCGTATCCTGTGCCTTCTGTAAGTAAGTGTGCACACTTCCAACTGGCTTGATTTGCGCGAAGAGCAACTTGGCAGAGTCTGCGCGGAGAAGCGTGAGCCTGCCCATGAAACCGCAACCATGTGCAATAATCTAATTACATCCTTGTTACATGAGGTGAATGCGCCTGTTTGCAGGCACTTTTTTGAATTTTTTGGTTTACTTGTGTTAAAAAGGAGTTAGCTGTGAAGGAGTGACTAATGCTTCACATGCACTAGGTCATCCCTGCCTGTCTCTACAGCATCCACTATATTCCAATTTTGGTAATTTGAAATATTTTTATCTACTTGTCTCCTTTCCTTTTTTTGCTGCATTCACGTGTAACAATAGACCATGTGATGCCAAGAGAAAAAAGATGGGAGCTCTGGACAGCTGTTTCGAGCTTGTTGGCCCTCATCAGCAAAGCATACCGCAACTTCGCTCTCTGGCATCAAGAGTTTATAAAGGCAGAGTTGAGCGCAGCACTTGTGTTATGAGATTCATCCCCACAAGGCTTTGCTCAGGCGCAGCGCTTGTGGTTATGAACTACAAGGCGTTGCCAGTACCGAGCCAAAACCCCGAATTCAGAATGCTGACATAGTGGATTGGGCAGCGGCAATGAAGCCAGCAAGCACCCATATCCTGCCAGCGCATACACATGTAACAATAGACCATGTGATGCCAAGAGAAAAAAGATGTGGAGCTCTGGACAGCTGTTTCGGGCTTGTTGGCCCTCATTAGCAAAGCATACCGCAACTTCTCTCTCTGGCATCACGAGTTTATAAAGGCAAAGTTGAGCGCAGCACTTGTGGTTTTGAACTAATGAGATTCATCCCCACAAGGCTTTGCTCAGGCGCAGCGGTTGTGGTTCTGAACTAATCCCCACAAGGCGTTGCCAGTACCGAGCCAAAACCGGAATTCAGAATGCTGACATAGTGGATTGGGCCGCGGCAATGAAGCCAGCAAGCACCCATATCCTGCCAGCGCATACACATGCAACAATAGACCATGTGATGCCAAGAGAATAAATGGTGTGCAATATAATTGCATAGCACCCACATCATTTAGGGCCTATGTGTTTGTAGCCTCATTATGTTGTAATTCCCATGTTTGTTTTACCCCCAAAGTACATAATGGTACCGAGTTTCATTGTTAGAGGACCCAGCATAAGAAAGTTTTAGGCAAAACACCATTTACAAGTTTTTATTGCCTGAGGCTGTTTTGTTGTAATTTCTGTTTCAATAAAATGTTATCATGGTACGTCAGTATACAAGGTTTCATTGTTAGAGGACTTACTACAAGTGGAAATGGTCTATATATGGCCCTAGTGCTATGGCAGCAACCTGAGTATTATTACTACAAGACTAGTGGAAAAAAATCACTTATTAAAAATGAAAGGGGTATAGGGATGGCTTTAAGCACCAAAAAAGAAGAAACAAGGGGTCATTACACAGCTATAAGACGCACATGACACCATCCCTATATCTTTCTTCCATCTCATTAATAGGCAAAATATCGGATAGAGGGATGGTGTCATGTAGTTTTGTGTGTCTTAGCTGTGTAATGACCCCTTGTTTCTTCCTTTTTGGTGCTTCAAAGCCATCCCTATATCCCCCTTCATTTTGGAATGATTTTTCCACTTGTGCAGCAAAGATAAACGGTACATGGTGGTCAACCATCTTGGGAGTCAACCATCTTTGTTTAGTAAACCCTTATTAACCCTCAGCGCATGTGCGCGCATGCGCAGCGAAGGGTATATACAGTCTTGGTCCAACCCATCCATTAGCGGTATGGTGCGCCGAGGGTTTGCACTTTAGTGCTTTTCATTATGTGAAGAAAGACACCCCTTATCGATTTACACAAAATATTGTGCCAGGAGCACCATTTGCCATGTCGCAAAGAGCACTGTTGTGTATTGCAAACTAGTAACCATTATAAGACCATTACAAAGTGTTATGTGGGTACAATGAGTTTATTGTCCTGGCTACCAAATTTCTTCATCACTCAGTGGTATCACATTGCTCTTGCAACTCCTGATATCCCATGTAGCTTCTGGAGAGACATAGTTTCACACCATTTACTATGTCCCTATATGCCACCTTACAACCATGGCCATGGAACTGATATCCAAACCTTGTCAGTGTGTGTTTGGTCAAGGGCCCACAAAGCCACCAGAATGTGTGGTGAGAGAAAGATGGTAATGATGCCAGTTGAAGTGGGTAGGTTCTGGCATAAGAATCATACCACCACAATTGTTGTACACACAATAGAATTCCAAACAGAATTAGGTGAAAACTGAGGGAGACATTTGCTATTGCTGACTTGCATGGCTTCACATATGAGACCAGACATACGAACATCACCCACAGAAGTATTTGTACAGTATTATGTAGTTACAACATCCATAGTTATAATTATATTGAGCTTTGAGAAAATTAATAAACATGCTAGCTGCAGTGCCTAATAGCACTGCTGTGATTCTAACATTTACAGTGTATGATAATTGAAGTGATAAGAAATAACAGTGCTCCAGCCAGTGCTCTGTAGTCGCGAATTCCATTGAGACTATCTTTGAAACAGCTGTGGAGAACCTCAACAAATGCTGTGATGGCCAGTCGCTTCCTGGCACTCAGAAACCTAGACAGATACCGGTACACCCTTGTTGGGTATATGCAGAGAAGGACAGAGGGAATGACTGAGATAAAAAAATGACACAAGTACTGCAATATGCAAGTAATGGAGATATTTGTAACTGGCCCACTCCACTGTTGGATCACGGTAAAAGACTTGTCTCTGAAGAATCACAGTTGAGTTGTACACATTTGCAGTGTATGATAATTGAAGTTAAGCCGAAATAACCAAAGTGTTTGAGAGAAAAATAAGTGAAGCAAAAGCCTGAAACACAGCATCACCAGTCACTGCTGTGATTCTAACCTTGCTGAAAAAGATCATGAATGGTTTTGACTGAATTCCAATCATTTAAAAATTTCTAGCATGCAGCTCCATGACAATACAGGATACTGCTGGTTTTTAATTGTTTACCATTTCTATGGCGAGACTTATAATTATACTTATATACTGACATCTATTGACTGCACCATCAATAGTGCCCTTTTAGTTAAGAAAACTTAGATAGGACTCGAAATCATACAGCAGTTGTCTTTGTGCTTTGGGAGATAAAATAATTTGCAGACTGTACGTGGTGTGTGGTGCACTGAGACAGCAGAGCTAGCTAGCGAGGTTGGCAGTTCACAGCAGAGAGTGCGCGGCAGAAGTGTGCTCCGGCTCTGCGACGCTAGATGGAGCTGCCGATCTCTGAACGTAGTTGGATAAACAAGAAGCAGACTGACATGATGCTAATCTGCGTGTTATATAGCACTGTTTTGCTGTTGTCGTTAACTGAGAGCCAAAGCTTTGGTCCCTTTCTATAAAGTTGTGATCAAATCTCTGGTGCAACTGGACAGTGTCTGTGAGCACTTAAACCTTTTGAGATTTAACAAGATACATTCTTAAAAGCATAGCTTGTACTGTTTGTGCTCAACTGTATGCTCCCTTTCATTTAGGTAGGCTTGCTTTACCTGCCAATAAAACCATTAAAGCTACAATGTAAAATATAAACACCCTTTGCGCGCTAGACACGGATGTTCATGTTGAGTGCAACGCATTGTACCCATATACGTGCTCTGGTCAACTAATTGGCTCCAGGGTGTATTTCAGCATTTGCCAACAGGGGGTGAAAATTCTTGGTATTTATAAAATGTAATTCCTATCCCCTTCACCTCTCTCCTCCCTCCTTATGATTACAGCTGTAAAGCTGTAATAGGAGAGCGAACCAAGCCCTCCTGACTGTCTGAATGCGGGATTTTCACAAGTGGAAAAATCATTTAAAATGAAGGGGGATATAGGGATGGTTTGAAGCTCCAAAAAGTGACAAACAAGCGGTCATTACGCAGCAAAGCTACATGACATCATCCCTATATCTTTGTTCGATATTAAACTTACAAAGATATAGGGTGGTGTCATATATATATATATATATAGCTTTGTGCATCTTTGCTACATAATGACCCTTGTTTCTTCCTTTTGGTGCTCCAAGCAATCCCTATATCCCCCTACATTTTGAATAAATGATTTTTCCCACTTGTTTACACTATTTTTAACAGCTTATGACAACACTGCATTTATTGTTACAGTCGCTCTGATGTTCATGTGTTTGTTGTAGATAGGCTACCATTGAAAAACTCTAACTGTTGAAAGCAGTAGTTATATAATGGGCTGCTATATAGTGCCTCAAGCAGGGGCTAGATACCGCATTCACCTCATGAAGAACGTATTGGGTTATTGCACATGGTTGCGGTTTCATGGTGTGGTAATCAGGCTACAACCTGCGGGACAAACAATGAAGGCCCATTTGAGTGCCCCGCAAGGCTCGCGTAACACCGCGAAGACTCTGCAGCAAATGGCATTGTTCAGTGTCGACCATGGAAGAGTGTTTTTGCTGCAAAACTATTCCGTTACATTTGTGTCAGTGGACCCATGATACACACATACAGATAGGGAATGCAGCTCCATGATCTACTGTAGTGACTAGCGGCAAGAAAGAAACGATCCGTGCACACTTCCAGCGAAATTGGAGACGTTCAGTGAAAAAATCAGCGCTTTAACTGGTACTGGTAAAGAGATGATGATTATGGCGATGACACGAAATCGTGAAATCCAGTATGAGAGAATTCCCGCGTGGACAACTGAAGGTGCGTATGAGGTCTTTGGAAACATGTATAGGTAGATATGGGCCCGTAGACTATTGCTAGTGTGTTTTGAAGGCCTAGGCTGTAGAATGGGCAGTAGGATGGGCAGTAAGATGGCAACAGAATGAGCTGTAGAATGGCCAATAGAATGGGCTGTATATAGGGCGGGCAGTAGAATGAGCTGTAGGGCGGGCAGTAGGATGGAGCCCATTCTACCTACTGCCCATTCTGCTGCCCATTCTACAGTTCATTCCACTGCCCATTCTATCTTTTGCCATTCTATTGCCCATTTTACGAAGTTTCTTCTCCGTATCCTGGTTTTCGAGATACGCTTTACTAATCTGAACAACAACAACAAGAAAAACTAACTTTCTTGAATACCTATTTTGCTATATATGCCATTTCTTAGGTTAAAACCCTTTGGGCACCATAGGTGTCTCCTTAAATAAGCAGAAATTGATATATATAACACATATTAGCGCCCAGTATATAGCCATATAAATTCTTATGCACTTATGGAGGCTCTGTGCATTTATATATATGTAAATGGCGCCCAAAGGGTTTTAATGCTCTTTGGGACGATATATTATACAGATCAGACTGATATGTCAGAAGTGGGATCTAATTGGTAAAACGCACAATCTCAAATATATGGGCATAATGCAGGACAACCTGTGTCATTCCTATAATACTACAGTACTTAGTGATATCAGGAAAACCATGGACCACGTAGCTACGTCATTCTCTGCATTAGCCCTTAGCAAGCCACGGGCAGGTGCCCAGAGGCTCCATATGTGCATAAGAATATATATATGGCTATATTACTAGGTGTTAATATGTTATACATCACTTTCAGTTTTTTAAGGAGATACATATGGCGTCTAAAGCGTTAGAGTGCACATCTGCCCTACATTTTATTATTATTAACTGATGATCCAGCAGGGGCATGTGGCTATAGCGGGAAATCTACGTACGTAGCATTCACTGGTGTGCCTAACTGAACACTTCATACAGTGAGAGAGATAATTATGTATACGGTTGGATTTGATGAAGCACTACATTCTGCATTCGTTGCTTGCAGAAACACTAAATTCTATTATTTCATTCACGCGCAATTGCAATACTACAGCATTTTAGGCTATTGTGTGTAAGTGGTGTAGTGGCTAAGCGCTGTTTCCTATCACTGGTTCTGCCCTTAGCAAGTGGTGCTTTGCTACTTGTGTTTTTTCGTGTAAAACTTTATATGATTCTTGCGTTTTAGTAACGTATGGACAAATATAATATGCATCCTCGGTCTCAAAGAGACTTGACATCCTCCTTAGCCGAAAGTTGTAAAATTACTTTTCCCAAATGAGATATATGTACATATATAATATGCAAAACTTGTAATGAATATATAAAAACCATTTGCAAAAATTAGTATGAATTATTTACACAGTCAGAGTATCTTGGATAAACATGCGTGATTTCTGATTTCTGTGAGGGCCATTTGAGCTTGGCTGGTCGTTTCTGGTTAGTTTTGATTCCACCTCTATGTATCTTCTTTGGTCTCCTCCGTTACACTCAGCAGGAAGGGTGTCAGAATTGGCAGAAATTAACGACGATGACTGCATGCAATGAGATATTATATAATAGACACAGAAAAACGTTACGGAACAAACATTCCTCGCAGTGCTAGCATTTCAAACATTTCTTTAACCCAACTTTCTCCTCAAAATAGATAGAACATAGTTCAGGTGCTCAAGCTAGGCGGGAGTTCGGCGCTTACCCGCTGCTTAAGGTTCTTTTCCAGCTCACTGATCCTCCGTCTCAGCTCTATGACCTCGTTTTCACTCCCACGGTTGAGGGTGGAGCTCATGCCTATCATTATTTTGTCTCCTTCAGGATCCTTGTACAGTTCTACCATCTATTCATGGAATGGGAAATGATGTAAAACGTGTGGCCAGGCTATAAACTCACTCTTGGTGTAAAAACAAGGGCCAGAATCACTGTGGTTCCAAATAAGAATCCAACCCCCACCACAGCTGGGTAGGCATTCACATAGTCATTCAGAGTATAGGTGGAGACAATGATAACGGCCAACACAATACTTGTGACGTAGATGGAAGCTGCAATGTACTTAGAATCGTCCAGACCCTTGACTTTCACTTTGCGAGTGTGGAAGGCAAGCAGGAGAGCAATAACAGTCAAAAGACCCTTGTACCCAAAGAGAACTGCGTAGAGAACAACTCGTCCCTTCGATTCACACTCATAGAGAAAATTCTCATGGATCTCAGCTGTGGGCTGTAAAAATGGAATTAAGTGGTAAGCAAGATATTATATGCAGTACAATGCAGTTTATTCTTTGATGAGACAGTCTTATACCTATATTATACTGAGAATTAAGGGTTTCCCCTTAGCCAGCCTTCATTTTCCGTGAAACTTTTCCCCTTATTTTGTGACATCTTTTTGATTGCGAGTGGACAGTATGTTTGTGCTATGTTTTGCAGCTTGCGGTGGCAGAGTGACTAGACTCAGCTGCTTTACGACCAATGAATGACCACCCAATCTGTCACTGTAGAGGCCAGATGGGCACATGACTAATTGGTTAAAAACATGGTTGGCACATGGCTGTGGTATGTGCCAACCAGCGAGGAAACACAGAAGCTTGCGGTAAGTCTTGTAGCATTTTCTGGGATGCATGGATTAAATCTGTTTGTCTGGTAAAAGAATGCCGGAAATCTGAGAGAGTTGGCGGGTCTGCATTCTGTTGCATGTTACAGCTTTGATTGCAGCAATAATTATGTGAACAGGAAGGGATTGATGAGCCAAAAACTTTTGCTTAGCTCATTACTCCACTCACCCCAATAATTTCTTCTGGCATCTCTCTGTTAGGGGTGAGTTTGACTCCCAGGTCCCCCTTCACCATCTCAGTGAGGGTGTATACCCCAAGAATAACTACGTCAATGACAACAAGACTCAGAACAAACAGCACCATCGCATAGTCTTGCAGAAAGGTCTATCAGAGGAAGTTAAGGAAGGGGTTTAGTTAGAGATATCAATGATATTCTGTGGTCTTACAGCCTTCAAGCCGAGGGGTTTGTTGAAGATGAGCCAGACTCTAATCATCTTGATGAGGATTGTGCCGTAGCAGAGGGAATAGCCAAGAGAAGTCAGCCAGGGATTGAACTGTGGAGGAAGGTGAGGGAAGTTATACATTGTACACATTGGAATGATTCCCTAGGCACAGCCTGCTCATTGTATGTAGAGCTATTGTTACTGGAACTTTACACACATGTACCTATTATGCATGCTTGAGAAGAAATTGACAAGGGCTAGCTACACTAATGAGGTAAGCCAGTGCAATCATAGCTTGCACAGAAATTAGCCGGAAGTGTAAGGAAAAGAGTTAAACTTTGCCTTGGAGTGCCACATTCACTTACATTGCAGAGTACTGCAGCAAACTCTGGGTTTGTGGTAGGGATGACCAGAACTATAACATTCAAGTAGAGAACTATAGCTCCCAGTCCAATCAGGTAGTTGAGGTTAGGACTGGAGAGTCGAATCAATCTGTACATTTATGAAGTAGTATTGGATTATACTCTACAAAATTCTTCAAACCTACTTCTTTTTTCGAAATACGAGTGTGAACAAAACGCAGGCCACAGCAAACACTAGTCCAGCAGTGGCCAGAATGACATAGACCACTGTCAGAGCAACTGAGACTGTCACCACATCCTTAAATGGTACTCCATCATAAGGAATACCATCTATATAGAGCAAAGCCAACAGCAAAAATATAACGGTTCACAGAATTCATTAGGATGTCTGTGTGTGTGTGTGTGTGTGTGTGTTTGTGTGTCTAAAATCATTTAGTGCTGTATCGCTTGGTGCATGCACAACGATAGTTGGTAACAGTACTTGGGTTTGTAAGTGGGTATGTTACCACGTTTTCTGCCACAAAAAGAACAAGAAACAAATGGTGATAATGATGGGTGCAGTGTTAGACTAGTAGCTAAATGGCAATTTTTTTTTAAAACCAAGCCAAAGTTATTGATGACCTTGACTGCATTCAACCTTCTTCCAACTGTTGAGTTTCAGAATGGCTGCACATTGGTTATAGTGGGCCGAGGGTTTGCACTGATAAAGACCCGTTTTGCTCATAAATATTTTTCTTGTCTAACTTACATGGGAGGACCAAATCAGATGTTGAGTAGAAAGTGCTGTTTGTGCCTTTCACAGTTGCAACCTCTATCCGGTTTAGTGAGCCTAGAATGGCAGTAAAAACATCTTATTTTCTTACATGTCATACACACCATTAGAGTCTCTTTGGTACTGTAGAATGGCCACAGTCTCAATGTCACGTATGCCATCTGCATCAAACTTCACTTCATTCCCCTATTATTATAGTGAAGAAGAACGTATGGCACATAAATTTTCTCCGACCATGAGAAACTGTCTAGTGTCTAGTACTGATTCACTCACAGTTATTCCTTGAAATGAGGTGTTCTGGAGGTGTTCAAACATCCGTGTCACAATCCCCGAGTTGGCATAGGTGAAGTTGGCCATTGTGAAGGTCTCTCCTTCAGGAAGACCGCTTTCCTCTGCAGCTTCTCTGTTTAGCGTCTCATTCTCAGCAAGATCTGAACCATTAACTCTCTCACAAGTGACACATAAATGATTATCATCCATACCGGCAATTGTCTTATTCAAGGCATATGCCAAAGTAAGCATCCCCTCGTGACAGTGGTAGGAATACACAAACGGGTCCTGGGAGTCATTAATGTACCCCCTTAAGTTGATAGCTTCATTGCTGTCAGTCTTCAGCAAATTGTAATACTCAGCGTCAAACTCTTCCACAGTCTGTACAGGGAGGTCAGAAATTTCTACTAGGTCAAAAGATATGCTATGAAATCACTGTATAAAGCAGAAATAACGATTGGAATTTTCTATTCACGGCTTTCTCTAGAGTTATGAATGGCACAAAGGCTCTTGTCATCGTTCAAAACTCTTCTGAAGGCAAACCTGCTTACAGTCATTCAATCACTTAACATCTTCAAAGTTGGTACAACAGCTTTTATTTACTGTCAATAAGAACCAAAAGCTACAGAACTAGATCAGGCAATAGCACACCCAGTTGAATGTGAGTGTGCTTGCATAGCTTTGTCATCGTGTGTGAAATCACACATTGAAGTATCAGAACCCCTGGAATTCGTAAGAAGGATAGCAATGCAAGCAAGACAAAAACAGTTCGGTCTAACATTGGCTTATAGATTATGACTGAAAGTGAAGCCAGGAAAGTGGGATGATGACCTACAACTTGTATGGCTCTCACTTCTTCCAGTGTTTTGTGTGAATTTGCCTGTAGTCATAACTAATGTCATCATCACACTCTCCTACATTTCACACTAGTGCATGTAGGTAAACACTATGCAAGAATGTGTAACTTGGATTTACTGTGATAACTAATCTCAACTTTTGGTACATAAGTCGTATGTAATAGTATGATAGCTCTCCAAACAGGCATTTTTAAGGAAAAGCACTAAAGTGCAAACCCTCTAACGTTGCACGCGTTTAATGCGTACACCCGCAACGTTGTCTATTAAATCGCGCGCGTGCACACACACACACCCCTTTTTTACGTAATTTACGCGGCCACTATAGTGGCCCTCCGCGTAACGCGGAGGAAGATTAACGGCCATTATACTGGCCTTCCGCGCGCAACGAGTTAAGTACACGGAGCAAGCGGACTCGATCGAGATAAGCCTGTGCTAATTTGCATATAATATAGTGGCTTGTTCACTTGCTTTTCATGCCATAACTTTCGAATGCAGTGTTGTTATGAAAATTGCCTTTTTAAAAAATCAAGCCAGTGTAGCGCTTAATCGCTGTTTCTCCGATTTCTTGCGCGTGGTTGCAGAAAACGTGGTAACAGACAGACAGACGGACAGACGGACAGACGGACAGACGGACAGACAGACAGACACACTTACGAACGAAGTACTGTCACCCTCGCTGCACATGCGCCCCGAGGGAAACTTTGCTACCCATACAAGCTATCTGTGTTCAAAGTGTAAAACTTAACACCAGACTAGGACCAATGTATATAGTTACTTATTGACCGTTGCTAGGAAGTTGCTATGTTTATTGTGCTACTATAAATCAGCTAATGCACCAACGAGGTGTTAAGGTGACAATATGCACCGTGGTTAGTGCTTATATCTGATATAAGCACTGCGCTTAAAGTGCATCATAGCAAATTTCTGTGTTCTTGGGAACGAACTTCTTTTCCAGAGTCTCTTAACTTTAGCACCGCTAAAAAAATTCAAATCGTTCACTGTACTCTTGACTCATGGGCTCTACTTACTTCCCTAATGCCAGACTCAACCTCAGCTTCTTGCCCGTGCGGGATTGATCATCGTCCTCAGCCTCGCTTTCTGAAGTTCACCCTTCGACACTTACGCGAAGAGGGCTTCGAGACCTCTTTGCCATGACTTGCAACAGAGTGCAAAGCAAGGAGAAACGCCAGTGGGAGCATTTTCCGCACACAGAAAAAGCGCGTTTTGTCTAGTAAGAGTGTCTTGTTGTACTGGCCTTCATACTCCTACCAAAATAATGCCACCGGTTTTTTTTTTCCCTCTTGTAGTTCCTGATTGTAGTACAAATTGCCCATACGTCATTCTAGCAAACAGTCCCTATCCGCCTTTTTAGCCATTACTATCAAAATATTACTCCAATCTTATTGTCTACACTTTTGTAGTGCTTTTTGTTTTTTGGTGTTTTTTGCCCCTTTCCTCTTCCTCTTGCCCTTTGCTTTTTCTTGCCCTCGTTTTTTTCTTTTGTGCGCTCCTTGGCCTCTTTTTTTTT